GAGAGGAAGTGGGGGGGGGGAGAAACATCAATGATGAGGGAGAATCATGGGTCAGCTGCCTCCTGCAAGCCCCACACTGGGGATCAAGCCCGCAACCCGGGCATGTGCCCTGACTGGGAATCGAACTGTGACTCCGGGTTCATAGGTTGATGCTCAACCACTGAGCCACACCAGCCGGGCATCACGTGTATTTCTTAACAAATCCTGCAAACCATTCCTGGCTGCCCTGTTCTGTCCGGTCAGCCCCCTCCCTTCCCGCCTCCGCTGACAGGACCGCCAGGCACCCAGACAGGAGCGGATGAGCGTTTCCTTCGGACCACACACTCCCAGAGGGGCCCCAGCACTCAGCACAGAGGAGGGGACAGGAGAGACGAGCCGGTTCAGATCTGCTGTCCCTCTGGGGTGGGATTGCTGGCACCCTCTGCCTCGGCCAAGGGTACAAGCACATTCACAGCCCTGATTCCTGCCGATTCCATCTCACTCCCTGGATCTCCCTCCCTGTGCTCACCCCACAGGCTTCTTTGTGGGAACGAAATGAGCTAAGGAATGAGCTTCGAGAAAAGCACAAATTCCCTTAGTAATGCAGGATATTTGAGCTGAAGAATATCAGGTAAGAAGTTATCTTTTCTTCACCGAAGGCCATGGCTCACTTTAAAGGGAAGGAATGAGTTGCATGCGATATTTAAAGTAAATTACATAATGCCGCTTTTATTTTTTCTTGGTGTAAAAATGTCTTTTCCTTTTTGAGATACGTACTGGCCTGTTTATGAATAAGATGATGTGTTGGTTTTTTTCCCCAAAAAATAATGAGGAAGAGGGAGGTGAGAGGGCCAGGTTGGCAGGGGTTGGGGACTGTTGGAGCTGGGTGATGCGCACATGGGGGTTCACGCCACCATTCTGTTTATGTCAGTGCGGGTCCAAAATCCTCCATAACAAAAAGTGGAACAGAAATAAATGCCTGCATCGTAACGCCAGCGATCATATCTGGCCTTGCTTTTAACGTAGATCCGGTCTTGCTTTTTTTTAAACCAGACAGTAAAAAAGGTGAGTAAGCGCCTGCCGGAGCCAGAGAGGAAACCACTCACCATTTTGGGTAGGATTCCAGGGCGGCTTGCGTGACAGCGACTCCCCGTGAACTTGTGCCGTGGTACCAGGTTTGTCACGATGGACATCGGGGGACCGGAGCCAGTTCCTAAACTCGGGGCACACAGCGATCAACACTGTAGGGATGGTTCAAGAGAAGACTGTCCCAGAAGCTCCTGGAGCAGAAGCGGAGCAGGCTGGCTGGCATCCATCACTCTGAATCCCCAGTCCTCCCAGGTGAAGCATTTCCAACGAGGACACTTCCACTCTCCTCACAGGAGAGTATTATTAACTGGTGCGTTGCTCAAGCGAAGGCCATCCATTGAGGCTTTTCCTCTTGGTATTTCAAAAATATATATTTTAAAATTTGTTTTTATTGATTTCAGAGAGAAAGATAGAAACATCAATGATGAGAGAGAACCATTGATCGGCTGCCTCCTGCACGCCCCCTACTGGGGACCAAGCCCGTAACCCGGGAACTCGCCCTGACTGGGACTCGAACTGTGACCTCCTGGTTCATAGGTCAATGATCAACCACTGAGCCCCGCCAGGCAGGCCTGCTCTTACTATTTTTGATCTTAGAGATTAGAGAGGTGATATCAGAAATAACCAGTTCGATCCCTGAATCCTAACAGTCCCATCTGAGTGCATGAGTGTTATCGTCCCGTCTGCTTGGCAAGGTCTGAGCTCCTTCTCCAATCACGTGAGCACCTACCTACCGGCCTGGGCTGGCGCGATCCCTCTCTGTACCTACGTGCAGATCAGACTCTCTGTGAAGATCAGTGCTGACCAATGCATGGGACATTGCTGACCAATGCATGGGACATGGGCGACCCAGGAAGTCAACGGCCCAGCAAAAAGCACCAGGTGTTTATGGGTGATAAACACAGGGGCCAAACGGGTGGGACCAGCCTCCCAGACCAGGAAACGGAGGAGAAAATGGAATCTGAGCTGGTGCTGGGAGGAGGCTGGGCATGGGTGGTGTTGGCAGCCCTGGCAGGGAAGGGCATGTTTCCCAGGGAGCCTGTGCCCTACTTGTCTGCCGCACTTTACCAAACCACAAAGCCCTGCTCGGCTCTCCCCTGCCAAGGCTGATCGCAATCCGCCCTGCTATCGGCGTTGTCATCTCTACAGAGACACGGAGTCAGGGCCGTGCATCTACGGGGCCTAATCTCATCCTGCCTTTCTTGTCTGGCTATCCGGGTGCCGAGGGTGCCAGCCTGCATCCCCGTTCACTTCCTTCTCCCCTTCTCCCTCAGCTGCCCCTCTGACCCCAACCCAAACCTTCCACCCCTTGGCACCCTTATCTTTCACGGCTGGGAAGTGAATATTCAGGAGGACAGCCCACGGAGGCAAAGATCTAACCCTGACCTGCCCTGTAACCTCCACGGCTGTGTCACCCAGCCAGACTGTGGCTGTGTCCGGGGCCTGGACCCACAGGGGGCTCAGAGAGGCGGCTGCCAGAGGGAGCTGTGAGGGCGATGATGGGAAACTGGCATCAGCTTGGAAAAAGAGGGTTTTACTTTCAGCACCTGCCAACCTGACAGGTTTGCCAAGATTTCACATTTGCTAAGGATTCTACATTAAACACACACACCCCTGCCTCACCCCTCCTCCCAAATGGACGAAACTTACTGGGTGAGGAGCCAGCGCCCAGGAAGGGGGACGACATGGCTCAGGAACCTTTTGTTTCCAGAGCGTTATCTGTCCTCATCTCCGCCGCACGACCTGAAACACCTCCCTAACATTCAAGGTTGGGTCCCAGAGCCAGAGAGGTGAGCCTTGGCTTTGACCTACGAGATCTGTGCTGTTGTTTTTCACACACAAGGTGATTGAATACAGAGGTATATTTTTAAAAAATCCTTGGGTCCAGCCGGTGTGGCTCAGTGGTTGAGCATCAACCTGTAAACCAGGAGGACATGATTCGATTCCCGGTCAGGGCACATGTCCAGTGGTTGAGCATCAACCTGTAAACCAGGAGGACATGGTTGGATTCCCGGTCGGGGCACATGTCCAGGTGGTGGACTCGATCCCCAGTGATTCTCACCTTTGATGTTTCTATCTCTCTCTCCTCCCTTCCTCTCTGAAATCCATAAAAAAATATTAAAAACAAAAAAAAGAGGATGGGAAATAGAAGGGAAGAGGGTGGGACAGACTCGCGGCGCTGCTGGCCACAGCTCTCACTGGCAGTGGAGGCGGGGTTGGAGGGAGGG